CGCCCCAGCTCCTCTCTGCAAACGAGAGTTCCTCCAACTAGCCATGCATTGAGCATTTATTGAATACCATTCTCTATCGGAAACACTTTCGGAGGGCTAGCATGGGAGCGGTTGCCTGGTATGAGCGCAAAATAAGATAGAGAGTTCTGTAGAGTATCTGAACAAGAATCATTCCGCCAGAAGGAAGAGCCACTGCCAAGGGCTGGGATGGGAACATGCACGGAAGGTTCAAGAACTGCCAAGAAGGGCCGGGCGCGGTGGCTCACGCCTGTCATCCCAGCAAAAAAAAAATAAAATGTATTTTAATTTAATTTTTATTTTCTTCATAGGCAAACTATCCTTTCTCCTCGATCATTTTTAGGACTTTAATCTTTGTTTTGGTTCCGCCCTTTCGCTACAGCAACGGCCACTATCCAAGAGAGCCCCGAAGAAGACACACTTCTCTTGGTACTCAGAAGTGGCCTCTTCCTCCTCTTCTGCAAGACATCAGGGCTGGCCTTGTGTGACCCGCAGAATAAATACAATGGAAGAAGTGCCTGCATGTGACCTCCCAGAGGAGGTTTATTTTGTTGGTTTTTTTGGGTTTTTTTTGAGACAGAGTCTCACTCTGTTGCCCGGGCTAGAGTGAGTGCCGTGGCGTCAGCCTCACTCACAGCAACCTCAGACTCCTGGGCTCAAGCGATCCTCCTGCCTCAGCCTCCTCCTGAGTAGCTGGGACTACAGGCATGCGCCACCATGCCCGGCTAATTTTTTCTATATATATTAGTTGGCCAATTAATTTCTTTCTATTTTTAGTAGAGACAGGGTCTCGCTCTTGCTCAGGCTGGTTTTGAACTCCTGACGTCGAGCAATCCTCCCGCCTCAGCCTCCCAGAGTGCTAGGATGACAGGCGTGAGCCACCGAGCCCGGCTTCTACTACATTTTTCAAATAGATTTACAAGCAAAGGCTTTCCCTAATATGCACATATTTTTGGCATACAGTTCATTGAATTTCGATGCAGATTATACGAATGTAACCACAACCACTAAATGGCCAAGATCCAAACATTCCCATCATCTCGGAAAATTCCTCATGCTTCTTTGCAGTCCAATGTCCACCCCAGAGGAAGCCATTATATTATTATTTCTACCATGTCTTCTAGAACTTTGATAAATGTATCCAAGGAGAAGGTATTCTTTTGTGTGTGGCTCCTTTTATGGTATTAAAGATTATGGTATTAAAGATTTTATGGTATTAAAGATTAT